TTCATACGAAAAGTCAAACTCTCGTAGAAATATTTGAAAAGTTTTCACACCGATTGTCACAACAAAACTAAGCTAACGTTTACTAGCGTTTCCTTTTGTGAAAACTTGTGCATTTGCTAAGAATGACGAGAGTAAAACATCAAAATTGCAAGAAATTCAACACGACAGATTTTCTGTAAAAATTGACCGATGGAGAAAAATGATATTGTCGTTTGATTATAAACTTAGGCAGTAAAGGTGCTAAAGATAATGCGTCATTGTTGTCATGACAACAGTAACAACATTCCTATTTGTTTACACAGTATATCAAGAGCACAAGACTTCTGAACGTTCCTGGAGACGATTATGTTGCTCTTAAGTGTATTCAATATATATTTCGTCGAAAGCAAACGTTACCTACAATATTTAAAATTTTAGAGAACTGTAGGGAGCCACCCTAATTAAATGATGCTCATTAAATTATTATTTTGTAAAAGGCATTTTATCAACTAACTCAAATTTCAACATTTTGTGTCTCTCAATGCGTAATTTAAAAATCAAACGAAACTTGCAGTAAGTTGGAGTTTGTTGTATTTCTATGACAATTAATTAACTAAGGAGTCACATGAGATATGTGCGGGCAGATCGAGTGTCCAATATTAAAGGCAACATGTTTTCATATACGCTCACATCAAGGAAAAGGATTGGGTGTCAGTATCTAATAAATGCCGGTCCTAGGACATTTTGGTTAATACTTCATGTAAGGCAAATTATAGTGGATCCGGGCAAGTGCGGGCACGCCCATAATCGGATTCCCGGAAGTCGGAATTCCTGGAATAGAATCGATGACGTCACTTCCGGTCGCCCAATTCCCCGCGCCGCCCTAGGGGTCCTCTGCCTGTCGGTCACCTCCCCCGTCCTCGCGCATCCGTGGTCACCAACACGCAAGTACGCACACGCATGCTTTGACAATTTTGTCGTAAATTCCCGTGAGTGTTGACACGATGAATTTTACCGTCCGCCACATCCTCCGCAGGCCCACCGCATCCGCCGCACCCGCTGCGTCCCGCATGCTTGCTGGAGTTTTGGTGGAGATTTTTTTTGCGGAAATCATTTTTTTGACAGAATCAACTTATAAGCAATTAGAATTGTATAATAAATAACCATGTCAATTACCAGAGTATCAGATTTCTCCGAAGACTCGTTTAAATTTGTGGACCCTGTTAAGGCCAGATTCGGATCCGAGAGGGTCGAACTTGTTGCGGAGGGTGGTGGTCCACTACTACTTAGGCTGGAGAATTGTTTAGCCTATGGAATCAACAAGAACAATAGGTTCGGAAAGGACAACTACACTATTCCGTTGGCAGTTGGACTACACACGGAGTTCATATCAGCTCTGGGAGTATTGGAGAAGAAGTGTGCTGTAATGGTTGGTAAGCCTGGTACCAGTGTGATTAGATGCTTCTATCGGGGTGGGAAGCAGCCTGTCTTGTATGCAAAGATTCATAATAGTACGGTGATGTATGGGGAGGACGGGGACATGAATCCGATGGGGGAGCGTGGCGAACACTTCTACCTAGATGCTTTGATCAGGATTTCGAGCATATACCTTTCCGGAAACATGGTTTCCGTTCAGGTTAAGCTTCAGGAGGCAAAGTATCTGAGGGTAAAGGTTGCAGAACCGTGGAAGAGGCTTCTGTAGATTCATTTAAATTTTAATGTTCCTGCGAATATTAAAACTGGTCTGTTGGGATTCCTACTGTCTTAGGTCCTTGTGTCCTATTGCCAAGGTGTGTATCCCATCTTCGCAGATGATGCGTTTATCATCGCTTGCCGATAGGGCTACCTTGACGATCCTTTCGGTATATATTTCGTGCAGTCTACTTCTGAAGACATTCGTTCCCCTCCACTGTTCCTCACCGCTGAAGAGACATTCCTTATAGTTGTCGAACGTTATTTCCTTTCTAATGGTTGTCTTCTTGACGCCTTTACATTTCTTTTCCTCTTTTCCGTCTTCCGCCATTTTGTAGGCGTACAGTTTCGCCCTGAGTCCTACGAATTCTTCGATCTGCTTTGAACCTGTTTCCGATTTCATCATTCCGATTACCTTTTTGTTTACCCCGTTAACATCCTCGGAAATGTCCTTGAGGAAGTCCTCGGTGTTGATTTCGTAGCACAGGGAGTCCGTGTCTGTGAATAGGAATTTGGCGTTATCCCCATACTTCGATTTAATGTAGTTATAAAGGAAGTTGTACATGAGGGTTTTGCTGATGTCCAGGATACTCATTCCGAGGTAGATGGTTTTTTTCAGTTTTACGGAGGTCCTCCTCATATGAACTGCCACCAGGTTTTCTGAGAAGATGGTTACCGATTTGTAACTGTGTTTCTTAGATAGCTTGTTCCATTTCTTTTCGTCGTTGACGATTCTGATGTCGACTCTGTTCCTTACGTTTTCCATGGTCTTTCCGAATACGGAGTTGTTCATTAGCTTGAAGAAATCCTTTTCGAAGTCTGTGGTTCCTTTGGTTCGGAGGTCTGTGTTAAGCTGAATGTATTTTTTCATCCAGTCGCTTTTGGTAAATTTAACTCCCCGATGTATTTTGGTTAACTTCAGCCCCAGGTTCAGGTACTGTTTTAGGTTTGTGTGGTGGAGGACATATTTTTCCCTGTTGTTGAGGTTTGGTATGAGTTTTTCCGTCTTGTTGACCGTTATCCTTTCTGGTGCTAGGGGGTATTCGTTGTGTAGATCGTGGAGGTCGTTGGGGTATTCGAGGTTCACTTCGAGGATGCAGCTGTGTTCCGTCCACTTTTCCAACTCGTTGTCGTTCATCCATTTGAAGTCCTTGATGGGTAGGGGTTGACTCATTGCCCATCCGTAGAGGTTGTTTGCATTCAGATAGGGTAGGTATATGGATTGATCTTCACCGTTGCGACTAATACCTTTTACCCATTTTGTGAGGTTTTTGTTCAGGTACTGATTAATAAATTTAACGTCTGCATCTTCGTAATCCTTTACAATATCCTCCACCTCGGCCTCAAAGGCATCCAGCTTTTTGTACAAGTTTTTAGGATCCTTTTGAATGGTGGCGTCCAACTTTCTTAGACATTGGATGACGCTTTCTGGTATTTTTTAGAGTCCGATATACTTGTTGTTGGCTATGGCATGTCTTTTGGTGATGGTGCTGATTCCTCCGCGGTTTCCCCTTTCTATGGGTAGGCACATGTCTGGATCGGAAATAAGCTCCAGTTCTACTTCGGTTAGTTTTAGACACGCATCCCAAGCAAGTCCTGGTGCTGCGTAGTACCACATGGGGTCGAGTCTGTAGTTTGCTCTGCATACCTTTCTGAAGTTTTCCATAACGTCTGCCAGGAGGAGAACGTCTGTCTTAAGGTAAAGGTCGTGGTAGTCTCTCATGGTTTTCATACCGAAGGTGTTCCACGCGTTCTGTGCTCTCTTGTAGTCGGTGTCGCTGATGTCTTCGTTGGTTAGGCTGCTGAAGAATTTGCTCTTGGGTGGTAGGGATGTTTCTTCCAGTCTGTCGAGCCCGTTCATATATTCGTAGGGGTATACGCCTTTCTTCTTCAGGATTTTCCGTTGTTCCGTGGTGTAGTGTGATGTCATTAGGTACAGATTTTCGAAGTCGTCCTTACCTAGACCCTTGATGAGTTTGTCCAGGGAGCTTGCCATAAATTTGAAGGAGTCCAGAAATCTTAGTTCCCTTTTGACCTTCTTTTTCTTACGTACCGTCTTTGTTTTTGAATGTGTCGACCACTACCTCTTTGGTAAAGGATATGTATTTTTCTTCCATCTTGGGAATACATTTGATGTCTCCGCTACTCACCCCGAGGTTTTTGATAAACAGATGGGCATCATACCCTTCAAGGTTGTGGAAGAGGACTGGTATGAATTTTGGTTGCCTCATCCTGAGGTTGCACGAGTTGTGTGCTGCACCCCTGTATTTGCCTGTGTAATGACAGTGGTCGTTGACTTTGTAGTCTTTTAGGGTGAATTCTTCCTTACATGCGTAGCAGTTGGTTGCTTCTACGTAGTCTTTGGTATCCCTGGAGGTCATTCTGACGGGCTTTTTGAACTTCAACTTGCTGTAGATATCCCGGGTTTCCTCCTCGAGAAGGTCCACAAATTTTTTGGTGATGTCTTCTCCTTCGTATTGCTGGGTATAGTGTGCTAGCTTAGGTTTGTAGATGGAGTTGTCGAAGCACTTGATGTAGTAGCAGAATCCGCTGGGGTTGTGTTTCTGGTATTGTGTGGTACTTGACTTGTTTGGGCTTTGCTCTTCTGCGATTAATTTTCTGATGTAGCACTCGAAGTCCGCGTAGATGGTAATTGGGAATTTTTCGTAGTTTTCGAATTTTGTGGTGCTGCCGGGTTTGGGATATTCGTGTCTTTGGTAGTCGTTGTTCGAGCATAGTTCCAGGTGTTTTTCCAGGAGTTCGCCCGATCCGAATGCGTTAAGGCATCGATCGCATATGTATTTCCTGTGTTCGTTCTTGCTAATTTGTGAACCTACGAGTTTAGACATGTCCTTAACGACGCTATAATGGTTTTTCCACAGGAAGAGTCTTACCGGATTGGCTTCTACTGATACCCGCAGGGGATAGACCTTGTGTTTTTCGTCGACACTGAACACGTTAATACCGATGTTGTTGTTTTTTTCGAATCTTTTAATGCCGTCTATCGGTGTTGGGAATTCAGTCCCTTCCCAGTCCAACTCTTCGGATTGCCTCTTGAGTTCTTTTGTGATTCTTTCCGGATGGATGTCGGTGGGGTTTAAGGCACGTGTGACAGCCCACTTGAAACATTCGTCGTCGTCGTTCTTCATGTTGATAATTGCTTTCTTGCTGGCTACGGATTTGGGTAGTGGTTCGTGTTTCTTACCCCTAAGTGGTCGGAACTCTCCGATGTGAATTTCCAGCGGGGTAACTCTTCGTAGTCTCCATCCGCTGCCCCCCCCCCCTCTGATATTCCGAAAAGGACTTCAGCATCTTTTCCCTCATGATACCCTGGTTTCTTCCGTATCGTCCGTACTGATAAATTTGTGGTTCTTTGATCCGAAGTGAGCGATAGTTGACACTTCCTCCCCGGTTTTCGGGTCGCTCCTTGCCATTTCACAGGCTAAGGACATCCTTACGTTCCTGGGTTCCGTTTCGGAATTTATCAGTGCTTTAACCTCATCTTCCGTGATGGTTAGGAAGTAGGATGGGTCGTAGTTACCGTTCGGGGTGATGACGTACTTTTTTACCTTTTTCTTGATGGCGTGCTTGGCTAGGACGGGTTCCAGGATTTCCCTCGGTTTTTCCCATATTTTACTAAGCTTGTCACCCACCTTCAGCTGGAGTTTGGGAAATTTTTTCTTGCCTCTCCACTTATCCTCTGCAATCCTACGGTTCTCCTCTGCCCGCCTTTCTCGAGCTCTTGCGTTTCGTCGTAATCGTTGGGTCTCCTTCTTCCACTTTTGGGCCTCGGCTTTCCAGTCCGTGACCTCTTACGCCTCCTTTTCTCTTCTTTGGCGATGTCAGTTTTCCATTTCATCGCGTCCCTTATTTCCATTTTCGCGTTGGCCTCGGTTTGTTTTCTCCGTTTCCGAAACTGTATTGCTGCCGATTTAACTTCCTTTCTGACTATTTTCCTCTTCTCCTCCTTGATCAGTTCGTCGAAGTAGTTGTTAATTTTCCCTTCTATTTTTAGACCCCTCTCCCTGGATAACTTAAGAACGTTGGTTCTCATTCGTTCAACGGATGCGAATTTTTTGTCCGGAATTGTAATACTTGGATTAAAAGTATTCATTGCTTTTATTATATAGGAAAGTTTATCTATAAGGTGGTTTTGGGGTTGATTCTGTTTTCCAGACCTAAAAGGTTTGAAAAAGCAATGAATGCCTCCAAGTTTTTTTTCCGGAAATCCGGACGTATGAAGAATGTACCTTTTATTATATAGGATTTCTTTTGAAAAAGTTGATTTTGTTTGTGGGACAGATGGTTCGCAGTTACGTCATCTAAATTCTGGAAGCTAATCGGGTCCTAATAGGGCAACTCCTATCTCGCCTATCTTTTTTCCCTTCGTGCCTTCGCTAATAAAATCGGCACCCCTCAGATTGATCACGTCTCCCTTTTCCTTTGTGTTTCTGATGTAGCATGTTTCATGTGCAATGGTTTTAATAACGATATTAGCAATAACTAGTATACCATCCTCTCCTCCCCATACGGTGTTTGGCGTTAGCTTGCGTATTTCAGCGTTTTTTCCCATTAACCCGTTTCCGAATTTGGAGCCGTACCTTGTTGGCACGTTTCCGATGGCTTCTACGATAAACATCATATCCTCGTAATTAACCCTTTTGCACATCCTTTCGACCTGCAACACATTTTCTTGGGAGCAGTCGATGAATAATCCGCGTCTGCGTTTCCTTATGACTGGTCGTTCCATGGCTACTTGTTTATATGTGGGGGTCCTTGTCTATAGATGGGTTGTCGATTCTGTTTGTGGGTCAAATGGTCACTACCTGGGGAACCTTAGGCTTCCTTGGCAAGCAGAACGTTCTTCATGCCGATCCTTACGGGTGTGTCTACATCCGGACCGTTCTCTTCGAGATGCTCCATGTCCATGAACCAATTGTTGTCGTCTTCCTCTCTTTGCGCTTCCTTTTCCTCTTCCGTATAGTTTTCCCGTGCATCCTTACATTGCACCTGCCACTCCTGAAAATCCGATAGGGCTACGCTTCCCTGGAGCCAGTCGTCTACGAATTCCGTAATTTCCCCGAGCTGTACTGTGCCCTCCGAACTTTCTAACCGACAGTTTTCTATCCCGATATTGTACGGTAGTTCGACCAGAACGTATATACCCTTTGTGTTTTCGTAGTAGTCGAGTGCGCATACGATTCCTGCGTCCCTTCCCATCCACCCTTCCCCAAACTTAATCTTCTTTTCCACACTGTGGTCGGGTATGCTTACGTCTGTAAAGACTAACGTCATGTCCTCATAGTTTGTGTTTTCACACATATTCTTGATGTGACTCATTTTTTCCGGACAGTGAAAGTAAAGTTTGAACATTCCGCTTGTCCTGACGATGGTGGGTCTTGAATTTAGAACTGTCATGGTTCCTTTGTTTATATGTAGGAAGTCTTATCTATAAGCTGTTGATTCTGAATTTGAGGTACTTCTGACCAGACTTAAGATTACTCACAAGTTAACCCAGATCTACTTGCAAGTTAACTCAAATCTACTTGCAAGTTAACTCAAATCTACTTGCAAGTTAACTCAGATCTACTCGTGAGATACCCCTGACTAGATACAAGATTACTCACAAGTTAGTTAAATCCTACTATAAGTAAAAGGGAACCATGTCGGAAGTAAACCCAGATACAACAGCAGTACCCATCACAAATCCGGTAAAGACCCACGACAAGGATCCCAGGAGGGTGGAGGCGGGGCGTAGGCTTGCTAAGATTAGTAAGGAAGCAAAAGCAAGGAAGAAAGCACGGCTTGAAACTATCAAGGAAGAGGAACAGAACGTTTTGATTGAAGAATCCGAAATTGATGGGTCAATAGTCACCTTAGGAAGAGTCGGCCTTCTAGTAGGAATTGCCGTAGGCCTAGGGTCTCTTTACTTCATGTGGCACAGCAGTCAGGAAAAGGACGAGAAGCCTGAGAAAGATAAGATTGTAGAGGAGCCGAAACCCGTCGTTATCACACAAAAAGGTCCTGACTTGTTTGACTGAAAGGAGAAATAGTTTTACCATAATAAAAGACATAATGACCGACACGAAGAAGGAAGTGACCAACGAACTGTACGATGCGGCACTATTGAGAACCGGAGTCGTCGGGGTATCCTACCTTGCCAAAACAGTTGCCGGAAAAAGCCTCGGTGCACCGATGACCTTAGAAGGAGCAGCAAAGCTTGCCATTGCCGTAGCCGGAAGTGCATTCACCATAGGGTACCTTAAGGATAAGGGATACATCCCAAAAATGATTAACAAATAAAGAGTGACATCTATTGTGGTCGGCGGACTCTTTAATGCCGTGGCCTTTGCCGGAGCCGGTTTCCTATTCTCCAAGTTGAATGGTACCGAATAGATCCGGCTGACGGACAGAACTCCAAGGAACTTGTCTCCCGCCTGGACCTCACTAAGAATAAGCTAACATTTAGCGGAAATGATGTCGCATGCATCGATAAAAGCGGCGCATACAATTTATCTAAAGATAAAAAATCCTCCGGATCAGTAGAGACATTTTTAAGGCTGTACGAAGAAGCACTTAAAGAACACAGGAGTAAAGCCAAAAGCGTAGTCGAAGAGGAGACCGGAGGCGAAACATCAAGGTTAGACGAAGAAGAAATTTTCGAGGATGCTAAGGAGGAATTCCGCCAGGAAGTCACCGACACGGTGGACACCCTCGTGGAACACGCAAGGGACCTGGAGGAAAGGGGAAAATAACCACACGGGAAAGGAGGGAACTTGCGGGAGTAACTGTTCCAAAAGGACCACCCAAAATCAGGATTAAAGCACTAAAAGTACAGAAGAAAGTATTTGAAACCAATATAGAACTCACAACAGATCCCGAAAGACAGAAAATTATGCAAGAGGGTAGGGACGTTGCCGAACAGGGTATCGACGACGCTAGGCTAGAAATGGGTCTACAGCCGGAATCAGAGGACGGAAAACACAGGTTCAGGGAAAAAATAAGGGAAGACATCAGGACAAAATTCGAACGATTCCGAAAATGGGCAAAGGAAAACATAGGTGCAATAGCTGCTATTGCCATTTCTATCGCCGGAATCATTACTACAGTCGTAGTGGCCGGAAAGAAAACCATGGTAGGGGCCTCCAAAGGATTAGGAGCCCTAAGAAAGCACTGGCTGAACTTGCAAAATCCGCACTACCAATCCTAGCTAGTACCCATTCTAAACCTCCTGAGTACTATCCTGAGCTGGGGAGCTAAGGGTCTCGCCTTCCTTGCCCAAAATCTATGGATCGTAGCAGTCCTAATTGCCGGAGCCATGTACAAGTACCTACAAATGAAACGAAGGAAATAAAGTTATACTATAATAAAACAAAATGGACCGAACAACTGAACTTATGCCCAGCTTCCGGCGCATGAATAGGACGGAAATTACTGGGGATAGGACAAGACATGTTCTAACCTTCAATCCCAATTCTGCCAAACCCGGAGAAGAAATCTACGTCAACATCCCAAAGCTAAAAGCCGACTCCGTTCTTGTACCAGATAGTATGGCTTTAGTTTTCGACTTCGAGAACAGTAATACTGGTTTAGGAACAACCTAAGGAAACTACTCCAGAAGAGACTGGAAATCCGACTCTCTGGCGAAAAGGTCTACGACAACAGCGGGGAAAGCTTACTGGAGGTCTACAAGGACCTATGGTTACACAACAAGCAGCGTGATGATATGGTAGAGGATGGTATCGGCAGTGAAGCCACAAGGAAGAAAATATCCAAAGACGACGCCGCGAACGACGATGCAGATGCTACCGCATTGTTCGGTGTATTTGGAACAAAACAGAAAATCCGAATCAACAAAATCCTCAAAGATCACGAACTTTATGCACCACACAACATGGCAAACGACCTACAATATGTGATCAGCCTACCCACAGCGGCCGAAATCATGAACGCCCAAGGTGGGGAATCTGTGGAAGGATACACCCTGGAGAACATCGAACTGGAATACGAGTCCATCGACAACATCGATCTCGCAAGGAATGCCGAGGGTCTGTACGGATCCGAACGCGAATTATCCTTCGAACACGCTACCCTAATGAAGAAAACGGAATGGAGCAAAGATTCCACCATCATCAACGAAACGATCAACGTACCACGCAGGAGTATGAAAGCATGCTATTCAAGTCGTCATGCTATTCACAAACAAGACGAAGACAGACAGCGAGGAATATATCTATCCTAATAACGAAAAGGTCAGGGTAACCATAGAAGGTGTTCCTAATGCCATCTATAGTCAGGGTATCCCCAAAACAAGACTATATGAGGAGGCAAGGCGACTGTTCGGTACTGACGGAATCAGTCACCAGACACTAACCGGATTCTTCAAAGACAAGAAATTCCCATTGGTCATCGATCTCAGAACTGCGAATGGCGCCAACACATATGGAAACGGTGCTAAAATCCAGAACACCCAGTCCGGAATATTGGTGGAAATCACAAAGAAAGCCACAACTGCAGACGTTGTATGTTACTTGTTCGTCCTTTCCGACGGCGTTATCAAGATTACAAACGGGCAACTTGCCGCAGTAAAGTACTAAAATTATTCGATCAATTTATGATTGATCATCAGTATCCGGTCCTTCCTCAGAAGGTGGTTGTTCAGGTGTCTTTCGATAAACATGTTTCACTGTTGTCACTCCACCACTAACAATATCCAGGTAGGGTATGTATGGGGACAGCTTTGCTAAACTCTTAAACAGTTTATTCTGGTCTAATTCCTCCCTCAATTCATTCCCACTATCCACCATATTGATAGCTTCCATGAGATCCGAAAACTTTTCAGTCAGAGCCTCTGCCAACACTACGTTCGCCTTTTCCCTCTGTGCGGTAATATATTCCCTCCGTACTTTCATGATAACCTTCCCGGATGCCTTCTTCAGGTAACTTTCGGACTGTTTAATCTCCCCTGCATTGGACAGGCGAATAAGCTCTGCCCTACTGTCCTCTATCTCCGTATTCTCTACGTTTGGTGGTTTCTGTTCCATCCCCTATATTATACTATAGGAACTTTTACTTCATGATTAAATGGATGTATCAATTCAACTTCAAGATGAGCACACTTATTCTCCTTCAACTTTTCCTTGATAGATCTCATTTCCGCACTGTCAACAAGAAGGTATTCATCCAAAATAAAGTTCATGTCCTGCCTATTCGGATTATAGAACGTCACCAATTTTGAAATATTCTGCCTGTACGGCTTAGCAATAGAGGTCAGCTGTTGGGTAATAACAATAGTGGAAATACTCATGTGACGTGCGCTAAAGCCGAGGTTAATCAGCTCTCCCGTCCGATCCTTCACAGACTTAGTGCTGGCACAGTCTTCCAGAATGATGAGAGATTCCCTTCCCTTGGTGAAGTCCACTACAAATTTAAGGTGGTCCTCCACGTCATCCTGCTGGCAAGGAATAACAAAGAAATTATCGTCCTCGTGTATGAAAACCTGATCATAGGTCTTATTCCAGAGATAGGTAGGACAAATCAGAAATATATTTTCAAACTGATGGAAGAACGTCGTCCTTAATTCCTGGATGAGGTAATGCGTCTTCCCACAGGCCGTCATACCTACGATAATCATGTTGAATGGCATTTTATTTTCCGGTTAAATAAAGAATGGGATGTCTGTCCACAAAACATGAACCCGCAAACAGGGTGAAGCACAACAAAAATCATAAAAGGAGAAAAATGTTTAACCTGGGTATCGATTTTGAACGAGGAGTCATCACGATGAGCGCACATATCCAAATCGGTTATGCCAGCGCAACGATAAAAAAATACGATAAACAAAACGATGAAGGTACCGCGGAAACTGATGCGGCTGTGTCTGATCAGCTGCCTATTGATCCCGATAACGCTTGAGGTTCTCCTTGTTGTCGTTGCCCTAAGACTAATACTTCAATTTTAATGATTGCTAAAGAACATTAAAATTATTCGGTATACTTCAAACCCAGCTTCTGAAACAATTTCCTACACCGACCATGGGAAATTCCACCCCTGGAAATCTTAAAGTGCCTATGCGACAATTTTTTTTATGATTGAATTGCAAAGTTCATTTAAAATTATAATATAACTTGTTTTTTAAAACTTTGTAATCTTCCCTATTTATCAAGATTTTCGACTTTGTTTGATATGCAAATGTGACTTAAATGACGTCACACTGCATAATGCTTTTACAGAAGACTGTGTTGTAGCTTGTTAAAATTCTCATTATCTCAAATTTACAGACGAAATGATCGCTTTGATAGCTCTTAAAGTATATCACTTTCAATGTCAGTGGAATTATTACATGTTTGGCAAGGACACGTTTTCTTTCTAAAAACTCATTATGCAGTGTGACGTCATTCAAGTCACATTTGTATATCAAACAAAGTCGAAAATCTTGACATACAGGAGAGAATACAAAGTTTTAGAAAACAAGTTATATTATGATTTTACATGAACTTTGCAATTCATTCATAAAAAAAATTGTCGCATAGGCACTTTAAGTAAAGACTCATCTACATTCACATCAATCATTTTACATACCTGATATATCATAATATTAAGATTGGGTATCCTCTTCTCCCTTGGTTCCTCTGCTTCACAAATATACACAACCCAGTTCATAACCTCACCCACCACTCCCCCAAGAATAGGGTACTGTTTCGGCGTGTTTCCCTGAATAGATACTGTCCCGACATTTCCTTCTTTACTATAAAGCTACGGACCTTCTCACGGATAGTAGCTGGTATATACTTGCGCTACATAATTGCCCTGTCCCAGCAGCCGTATTCGGAAACGTAATGGGTTCTGCCAAGTATTAGTCCACATTCACGACACGTTCTTTCCCCGTTTATATCAATAAGCTGATGGCTATGTCCCTCGACACAAAAGTGCTTATTTTGAAATTCTACGGTCTCCGGCTCCTTTGGATCCAGGGAATCCAGGTACTCCTTTTCCGCTATATCAAAAAGCCTCATGTCCTTGCTCCTCTTCCCCGGTTCCCGGGGCGGACGCAACTCTTCGTGGTATGCTGAAAGGGTCTTTGCAAGCGGGGAATCCATGCCGTACAGCAATTCCCGGTCCGGAGCTGGTCCATCAAAGTTCCAACCGATAGAGTCCAAGTACGCCACATAAATAATGCTCATTTTCTTGTAATTGGACCTTTTTATAGTCTCTAAAAGCAAATCCATATTTTCCTCATGTTTGTTAAGAGACTTCCCGAAGGCAGAATCCATACCTTTACTTATACACAAACGTTTCTCTTTAAACAACTTACCAATCCCCCCGGCTTTTGACAACAAATATAATACACAGAATAGTTAGTATAACCCCTACGATGCTACCGCTGTGATATATATAATAGCAAAAGTCACTAATGCCCCCACCAAAACTCCAACAAGCATTCGGGACGCGGCGGGTGCGGCGGATGCCGTGGGCCTGCGGAGGATGTGCGGACGGTAAAATTCATCGGGTCAACACCCACGGGAATTTCCGACAAAATTGTCAAAGCATGCGTGTGCGTACTTGCGTGCTTGCGTGTTCGTGACCACGGACGCGCGAGGACGGGGGAGGTGACCGGCAGGCAGAGGACCCCTAGGGCGGCGCGGGAATTGGGCAACCGGAAGTGACGTCATCAATTCTATTCCAGGAATTCCGACTTCCGGGAATCCGATTATGGGCGTGCCCACACTTGCCCGGATCCACTATAATTTGCCTTACATGAAGTATTAACCAAAATGTCCTAGGACCGGCCTTTATTAGCTACTGGTGTCTTCTTAGATTCATTGCCCAATAACTCGCATTATTATACGTTGTTGTCACTCCCTGTCTTCTGATTGCTTAATAATAGCTAACAGCTTATTATGAAAATCACCTAATCTACACATAACACAGTTATCTAGTAGCATGGATTGTGAAAATAGATTGGTTAAAATAACCATCTTAATTGGATCTCTCATGCAGGTGAATTTATTTGAACAATATTTTGTTGGCTGAAACGACCAAAAAGTTGTTTTGGGTTTTCGTTTGTTGTAATCAAATAACATTAATGGTGAAAACAAAATACATCTGAGACAACCAATTCAAATTGGTTATTTTAGTTAACAAATCTGTTTTACCATGCAGGGGCCGGTTGTATTATTGTATAAAAACGTCGTTAACTTTAACTATGATTACAGTAAACCCCGCATAAAAGAACCAGTGGGTTAAGAACTACCAACCTGAAATTCGGGCAATTAAGCACCCAAAATACAAGAACCACTTCAGGCTGACAAATGAAACTGGTTCTTAAAAACCCTTATTAAACTTTTAGCTGAATTAGTAAGCAGGTACTAGGAAGAAAACAAAATACTGTAATCTTCCTAGCAGGAATTATATCTTTCAGCCACATCATGCATGCATTCATTTTATCAAAATAATTAAATTACAGTTCATTTACAAGTTTCATTATATACAATAAGAGGTTTAAAACTCTAAACCAGGAACAATTGTTTTTGACTGGAAATAAGAACCACTTCAGCCTGATTCCCTTCTAAGTACCCATTAAATAAGCACCACTTCAGCCTGAAGTAAAAATTCACTGGTTCTTTTATGCGGGGTTTTACTGTAGCGTTAATTACTGTAGTTAAAGGAGCAGTGTCACCTGGTGCGCATCTTTTCTGCGCATAACAACAAAATTTCGGAAATTGTCGGAAATTGTTCGGAGCCTAAAATAACATTGAAGAATTGCGTCCTCTATGACAAGCTCTGCGGTACGAAACTATTCATATTCTTGCACATCATTTGTGTGAAGTCGATATTATAAATGTAAAATGCATATCACATTTCTTAAATTAGCGTAGGTTCAACATTATAAGTACAAGAGTTCTTGTAGCGTCAAGCGTAAACAAAATATCAATCGAGGATGCCCTTGCAAAGGTTCAAATATCAACTGCTCTGCACCATGCAAATGCGGCACTCGTGCTAAACCTTGCAAGAATAAGGTGAGCTTGAAAATCATTCACCTTTCACAATCAATCTTCACTTTTCTCAGTACTTATATATATTATATATATACGAGTAGGTTTGTGTATACGAAACGCAAAGAGTGCTCAATATGTAGCAAATGTAGAATTTCGCTTACCTAAAAATTCCGCAACAGTCTGTTTCATCAGATACCGCCTGATGATTCTTTACTGATGAAACAGACTGTTGCGGAATTTTGAGGTAACTAGCGAAATTATATATATACATACATATATATATATATATATACATACATTTGTGCCACATGTTGCTATTCAGGTTAAACAATAGCAGGTCAATGCTATGCGGTCCCTGAACTTTGTACTAATAACATCGTTCGACGACATGCGCAGTAGTGTATTAGTAGCTATAGGTAAACAAGAATCTGTACCTAAGTTTGAGCAAGCATGTAACTATGAATATACTATGGATTAAAATTTCTTTATTTGTGTGTGTGTATTTCTTCCTTTTAAGCGCCCATCCAGGGTCACAAGGCCTGGACATACTTCGATCACTATGATCAGTATGAGCTCGCAAGTGGAAGGAATACTTATCGAACAGGGTACCGGCAAAGTTAAACCGACTGTATA